GAAACGCAAACTACGTCTGGCAGCTGAAAAAAATTAACTCTAAGGAGGTTTGAATCTAAAGAGATTATTGAAATAAAGACCTGGAGACTTTTTGTAGGGATATTCCTTGTCAGAAATATTCAACACTGTTCTCCATGGTGAATAAAAAAAGCCAAAGCAAGAGGGAAGACAGAGACACACAGAGAGAGAAAGAGGGAGAGAGGGAGAGAAGTGGGGAGAGAGAGGGAGACAGAGCAAATGCTAGAGCAAGATTTCTCAAACTTGAATCTCTATACATTTCACTTGGGGACCTTGTAGGTCTGGGGCGGGACCTGAGAGCCTAAAATGCTCCCCAGTGATCCAGAGGCTGCTGGTCCCGGGACCACACTTAGTAAAGAGTTAGAGCATCTCCATGCCCCCTCGTAAGTCCAACGCTGTGGAAGACCCCTCACTCCACCTGGCACATCTCATGCCCTGTGAGACGTTGGTCTCTGAGGAGGGACCAGGAATCCTAGAGCAATGGCTCTTAAACTTGGCTACATGCTGTCATGCCCTGGGAGATGTGAAAACTCCCCAAGCCCTGGCCACAACCCATATCACTTAATTCAGAAGCCCTAGGAATGGGACCCAGGAATCAGAATTTTAAAAAATTCTCCAGATGATTCCAATATACAGCCATGTTTGAAAACCAATTGCTTGACAAGAAATAACATTAACTAGAATAAAAATAACTGCCAATATGTCTTGGCTGCTTCTACACAAGTACCTGGCATTGTGAGAAATATATACTTCTTTTTTTCATTGAATCATCATAATTAATTCCATTTACAGACCAGAAAAATGAGGCAGAGATTATGTAACTTGCCCCCAGGTAATAGCTGGTAGAGCTAATATGAGAAGACAAAAAGAGCACTATGTCCTGAGAGAAGGCCCATGACAGAGGAGTGGAGAACTGGCTGGTTAATCACATTTGTGTGTGAGTCCAAGGTTTTCCTTTGTTTGTATATTTGGCTTTAACCAATAGTTTGGTGGTGCCATTTTAAAAATGCAATTCCCCTCTTTTGTATTCTCCCTCCCCCTTAAAGACCTACTACTGCCTTCCTGAATGTTCATTGCCTTTTCTCACACCAGGTATGCTTAAGGCCCGACACTGTAGAGCTAAGGTCAATTGCCTTCAATTGCTGGCTCCTGGGGCTCAGCCTCCAGGTGGACTAAGCTTTGTCTGATTTCAGTTTCCTCTGGTTGCTCTTGCACCTAACTGGGCAGCAGGGGGAGCTAAGACTACCAGGAAAATCAGCCTGTGAACTGCCCCTAAATCATAGTCTTCAGGTTCTTCCCTAAAAGAAATTGATCCTACCAGCTCTTCACCCTACAGCTAATGCCAACTGCCCTAGACCCCCAGGGCTGGGCTCTCACGGGGCCCAGAGATGAGAGGCAGCTGAGAGGGGCCACAGGGATAAATAGTCAGTGCAAAGTGGTTTACCAGTTCGGAAGGAAGCCATAAATAGTAAATTGCATCTTCCTGAAGGATATTTCTCACTCGTAAAAGACTGAGCAACTATAATAAAATGTGTAAAATGTAAACACGAGTTCTCTTTCTAACCTCTGACCAATGACTTGAATAGAAATTTTTCTATCAGTCCTCAATTTTCCCAACTTTAAATGGGTATATGTCAGGTTAATAAGTATTCATTTAACTGAGGTTGTAACTGTATTAGAGGACATAGGGTTGGGTGTGCAGTCAGGAATCCCCAAGGCAACATTATCATGTCCTAATAGTTTGAAGGAAATTTGAAAAATCTTAGAGAAAATTCTCCTTAAATTCGCTGCAGAGCAGGGTGCATTGGTACCCTCAACCGTAAATCCAGAGAGGCTGCTTCCCATTCCTGAGAGCATTTTCAGAATTGCTGTGGCTTACCTAGACCATGGGTTCTGAGGAGTCAAGGTATGTCACTATAACCACGTTGAGACATGTAAGTGGAACTGGAAGTTAGCTATATCAACTCATCCCCTTGCTCCCCCAGCTACTCTGAACTGTGCCCCCATTTCATCCTCCCTCCTCAGTCCTGATGTGAGAGGACACGGAGGAGTGGTGATGAGTATTTAATGCCATTTTCCATTCACAGTGAGAATCTCCTTAGAAGTCCTGCTCTACCCTTTCTTCTGGGGGTGCCATCTCCAGGAGAAACTGGAGAATGACAAAATCAGAACTTTTCCCTTGAACAGGTTTTGGCAACCTTGATGCTATGAGCTTCTAACGTGTTGCCGTGAGTTGATGACGCTCTTGGACAATTGATATTTATATGTGAACTTCAAGAGGGGGCATCATAGTGTCTCTGCAATAGATTTTCAGAGTCTGAGCTATGTAGCTTTGAGTCACTAGAGCAAGTGCTTAGCAGTCTGATGTAAAAATATATTCAGTGCTTATTAACCTTAATTTAACTTACTGTATCGTTCACAAATGTGTCCTAATTGTGTGTGAGCTGGCTTCTCTTCTCCTGAATGCACTCAATCTAGTAAAGGAACTGGGCTATTGCATTGCAAGCAGACAGATTAGTAGTGGCACAAATGCATGCAAAAATACACAGACAAGGCTTTGCTCTGTAGTTGGAGCCTCCCTGGTAATTCTCCTGTGTCCTGTGTCCTTGAAATTGAGGTGCCAGTTCGCTTACACTGGCTAAGAGTCTGCTTCTCCTCACCGAGCTCTGTCTGAGCGCCCCTGCCTTACTCTCTCCTGAGAGATTTACCCGCTCCTCCCGGCCCTGTGGAATCTAGCTGGAATCCCCGGGCCAGACTGGAACATTTGAAAACACACACAACCCCCGCCCCTGCGCCGCCCCCCCCCCCAAAACAATTCATTTGAGAAAAGGGGAAGTGACAATCTTACTCAGGAACTTGACTTTTTAAAACCGATTTTTTTTTTTCTTTTTGAGTCTTAGGGACTGCAGAGGCTTACATAATGACTAGGCTCAAAGGAAGGTGGCCTGTCCTTTGGCAGCCATGGGTGAAGCTCACCAGCTTGTGGGATCAGAGCCCAAGGGGGTGAGCGAGTGGGAGGAGTGGTCAGACCTGGGGGCCATCCCTCCTCTCTAAAATTAGAAACTGCAATTCTACATGTTTTGTTTTCAGGCTTAAAAAGAAAATAAGTGGGCAGTTTTCTCTAATGTCCTAATAGGCTGCCTGAGGCACACAAGCATGAACAATAAACCTTGTTAAATGATAATCTGAAAAGGAAAATTGAGGCCTTATTCAAATTTGATGGAGAAACCACAAGGGCAGGCTCCTGGCTGTCCTGTTTTAGGCAGAGGAAGGATCCCTCCCGGGAGCTTGTGGAGGATCAAGGTGCATGGGAGGGCCGACATGGGAGCTGGGATCCCTTGTTCAACTGTGCTGACCCTTTATTCCCCGTGTCCCCAAATGCCAGGTCAGTAACTATTTCAAGGGCACCATACAAATACGTAATTTGATTCTTTTTCCCCAGGCTTAGTCTCTCCCCTTTGCACCCCACAATAGGTAAGTCTGAAGGGTCAGCGGTGAACTAGGCTTCTCCAGAAAGCGGCTCCCCTGCACTTTTGCAGACACATCTTCCTCTTTTGTCCCTTCAAACATGTGCTGTTTATTCAAAGTCAGGCCTACCTGCTAGATAAAGCAATCAGATTTCCCTATAATTAATTCACCTTCTGGGGTGCGCCAAATTTTCACAAATTTGAACCAAAGCAATTACTCCAAAGCTTCCACCAAATTTACACAAACCTTTGAAGGACATGGAGGCTGTCCCTCCCAAATCTCAGCTCCAGCCTAACTTTTGGTGCTTTAATCCTTCCACTTCTAGAAGGTGCCTGCTAAACAGAGTTTAGCAGGTGTGCCAGTTGCTAGTGATTTGCTCATGAGGGACATGTCCCTCACTCCTCTCTTCCTTGCCCCTTTCACTGTGAGGCAGAAAAAGCTCCCCAGTGCTTTCCCACTCACGTTGCCAGCCCCCCAGGATTTGCCAGTGGGGTGCAGCTCTGTCCGTGGGAGTCCAATGCAGTCATGGTACTGCTTCTGGGCAAGTGCTTTTCTTCCTGGTACATTGGAGCTAGGAGGCTGGTACCACCAACCCTTCTTACTTTTCTTCCTGCCCCGTTTAGATATGATGCTTGGAGGTACAGCTGCTATTTGGCAATAGGCAAATGCTAAAGATGTCAAAATGGAAATAAAGAAGAATCTCGGGTCTTCGATGACTTGATTGAGTTGCCATAGCTCCATGCCTCTTGTATGAATGTCCTGGATTGCCTATGTTACAATAAGTGTGTGTGTGTGTGTGTGTGTGTGTGTGTGTGTGTGTGTGTGTGTGTGTGTAGAACTATTAGGTATTCTGTTACTTGCAGGTTAATGTCCCTAATAGAATAAATGACATAAAAAACAAACAAAATTAATACCTCCCACCCTCCCCCCTAAAAACCCACAAAAAATAAACTACCTTACTGAGCTCCAAACCCTGTGCAAAGGGACTTATTTACATGATCAGTCATGTTGCCAACATCTTATTTTTGCCATTTCACAGATAGGGCAACTAAAGGCTGGGAGCTAAAGCAACCTCCCAAGGTCACACAGGAAGCTGCTCACAGCTGGGGAGCAGAGCCAAGAGCTCTCTAATCCCAGGCGAGGCCTCCTGTGCTCCATCTCTCCCCCTCAGTTAGGAAAATGTCAAAGGATTTATCAAAAACAGCCTGAAGCTAGATTAGGTATTTTAATACCCAAAGCACTTAATTACTAATACAGTTTAAGGTACATTAACCTAATTGGAAACTTTCTGCATATGGCATAGGTTTCTATCCCCGCCCTGAAAATAATTAATAGTATTATTTTCAAACTTTTCTACTAGTCTGCCTCATTTTTATGTGCTAATATTGGTTTCCAAAGTTAGAAAGACTACCACAGCCAAGAGCTGACTTAATATTATTTTCTCATGTTAAAGAACAACAAATAAAATACAAAATGATAAAATAATGAGAGGAAAAGGAAAGATAAAATTGTACCTGGTAATTGCGCGTCTCCCCTGGAGCACGCAGGGGAGCTGGCAGACGCCATCGTCATCGGGACCCAGGCGTCATCTGTGGCCCCTGCTCCTCCTCGGATCCCGCATCCGGTTAGTGCCAGATCCTGTCGTATCTAACCAGCTCTCACCATTTCCCGCTGCTTCCTTGGGCCGGGCCCTCGACATTCTCCTCTGGATTGCGCCAGTGGCCATTTAGCCAGTCTCTTGTCTGGTTCCAATCTGCTCCCCATGCTGTAATTGAAGAGATTCTTATAAAATGCAAATCACATCTGTCAGTGCCCCACTTAAAACCCTTCAGTGGTTCCCCATGGCCCTCAGGATAAAGTCCAAACCCCTTGATATGACTTTAAACGCCCTTCGTTACCAGTTTATGTCTAGTTCTCCTGTTTTATACTTGATGCTCTCGCCATGTTCAACTTCTTGTAATTCCCCAGACTACTCTGCTTTTCCTCCATTATAAGCCTTTGCAGGAGCTTCTGGGAACTTTCTCCTTCCTCCTCTCCCCTACCCTTCCTCTCACCAATTCCCAAGGTAACTCCTCATCATCTTCTACTGCCCAAGCACCACTTCCTCTGGAGTCCTTCCCTGACTACCTCCTACCCAGACTGGGTTAAGTGCCTCATCTATGCGTTCCCATAGCAACCTGGCATAGAACATACTAAGATAATGCTTACATTATTTGCTTACATCTCTGTCTTCCCAGGGGGATCTTGAGAGCAGAAAATGTATTTTGTTCACTTTTGCGTGACCAGCACCTAACACATCAATGCTTACGAAATAGATACTCAGTTAAAATAATATTTGAATAAATGAAAGAACAAGTGAACTCACCTGGTTTCAAGAACTATGCAAAAGACTAACAGGCAGGTGATCCAGGCAATCAAAAGGTTGGGACTAGATAGGGCAAGAGGATGACTTTAAAGTTCATGTCATTGCAGAGAGCCTTGTTAACCGCTGAATTCAGTGAGAAAAGCACGGGTCTGGCACCTGACACACTGGGTCTCAGGTTGTTCTCAACAAAATCCAAATGGAGAAAACTGGTAGAACAGGAAGCTGAGAAGAGATAGATATAGGATATTCTTTCAGATCCTCTTGGGACACATGAACATTGACTATGGGGAAGAGGGTTTCTAGGATCCTAACTGTATATGCAAAGCTCTGACCTCTTCTCTACCCTTAACCTCTTCCCCACCTCTCCATCACTCTTCGCTGTTAATGTCATCACCCTGGTGATTTTAGCAACAAAACTAGCGTGGCCTCCAGAACCCACTTCTCCTTTATAAGATGGATAACTTCACAAATTATCCACATATAGATAACCTGTAGAAACGAAAGCTGACATTTCCTACTAGAACATTATGTATGAAGAAGCACTAAATGGGAAACTGATGACATTTCTCTGCACTCTTTCCTAATGTACCTTGTTACCTCTAAGTAACAAAGCAGTTTGCACAGTCTGTACTTATGTTCACCTTCAGCCAGCACTATCTTAAACACAATGGATGACCTGTGTGGAAATGTCACACCTCTGAGGACTTTCAAGGTCTAGGTCTTTATTCATTAAATAAGCATAACAGCTGATTAGACTACATTTGTTTCTTACCATGCCTGTGGGTATGGCAGCCTGTGGGCAGGGTAGCCTTCCTCGGAGAGATTGACCTCAATATCAGGTGCATGGCACTTCCAAAAAAAACAGTCACACTGCCTTGGAGAGATCCATTATCTGGAACAGTATTCTGAGCATAAGGGAGGGTTCCACATTACAGTGAGTCAATGTATGCAAGAAGTAGGCTGCATATGTGTTTGGGACAACCATCCTCTGCATGTGTTTACATTGTCCATAGTAGCTCTGGATTTGGGTTGTGGGAAGGTAGTTGCCTACAAATATCCCAAAAGACTGAGATATAATTCAAATAAATTTTTTACAGTCCTTTAAAAACAATATAAAATCAAAAAAGCAATAGAAGTGGTACCTCAAGTCTTCTGGCTTGGAACTTCATGAGCTCTTGCATTTTGGTGGTCCATGAACACTGATTGAAGGTTTAACATGGGTAGAGCATGACACTCTGTGCTGCAAATACCGCAAAGCAACTAACATAGTCCCTGTCTTCAAGGAGCTTTCCTTCTAGTAGGAGTGATAAGGAATTTACCAAATACACTCAAATATTGAGTAAAAAAATGGCATAAGTGAAACAAGCACATGTAAAGGGAGTCAAATAAAAGAGAAATGACTAAGGGCTGGGATTACATAGAAAGCTTTCTGGAATTCCAACCAGCTGATGAGATGTTCAGGAGTGACAGAGCTCCCACAAGGACTCAGAAGCTTCCTGCCCATTACCCACCCTCCTGTACTTAGGACTGAGGTCTAACATGTTGTCATATTGAAAAATTTTGTGATAGATAATGTGAAATAATTTTGTGATAGAACATTTGAAATAAAAACCAACTGTTATAAACTTATTTAATGGAATTGGGGGGCTCTGGGGGCTCTGTTATCTTTTATTTTTCCATAGAACCAAAATATTACTATAATCCACTCCTACCTGAAGAAAAGTTTCAGTCCTCTCTCACATGAAGCTTTTCTTCTTCACTTACAAGTATTTGCAAATGACGCCTGAGTACATCAATGCTTTTTTCAAAAGACCTATGTAAGACTTTCACGTGCAAAAGTTACATAGTTAAAATCCATATTACAAACACAGTTCAATCTAATTTTAGTTCTTTGCCCCATAATTTCTCCCTCCTCTTAGCCCCATGGTGCTTCTATTTTCTGTTTGCTTTGTTTTCTGAGGATGGAGCATGCTTAAATGTTTTGAGCAACCTTGGGAGCCCTTTGTATGCAAATCATAAGGCTTTGTTCTTCCTCCCTTGCCTGTGACATGGCCAATTAAGCATGTGTGCCCTCTCTCTCCAAATCCCCTTCTCACTTTCCTTTTTACTCCCCAGCCCAATTATTTCAAAAGTTTTGCCCCATTGCAGAGTATTTCTTTTGAATCTTACCCTGATTCTCTTGTGTGTGTGTGTGAGACACAGAGACAGAAAGAGAGAGAGAGAATGGGGAATTATTGCCCACTATTTTACGGTTATTATTTAACTGGGATATAGGACAGGGGCACAGGGTGCCAGAGTAAGGATAGGAAGCCACTACTTTTTGGCATTCTGCTACAAATTGGCTTTCTTCTAGGCTTGTGTTGGCAGAATTCTTATGGGTTGTTTTTCTCACCACTCCCACCCACGAGTGCATACATGTTGGACACACATGCTTATACACACACACACACACACACACACACACACACAGCCTTGACTGAGGGGTGGGAATTGAACTAGAATTGATGGTAAAACACCCTTATTAGTGAACATAGTGATAGGAATGAAGGAGAAGCAGCAAGGCAGCAAACATATCACTGAAGAGCATTCTCTTTGTTGCTCCTTATCTACTCAATGTTTTAATTTCTTCTCCTTTAAAACAGGACTAGCAATTTAAATGGGACTGCCTCACTGGATACATGAATTAATATATGTAAAGCACTGAGAAAAGGGCTTGGCACATCATGAGTACTACACAAGTGTTTGGTAAGTAGAGAAAATAAACATGTAAATCAAGAGCCCAGCACATAGTACATCCCCCATATGTGCTAGTGAAGAAGTGCTATTCTCAGCTATCGCTTTGAAAATCCCCCGACCTCCTTAGAGGAGCCTTCAGGGTTCTTTTCGTGAAGAGCTGCTGGGTAGTGCTGGTTCCCTATTCACCACCTTCTCCATGTGGTGTAGCTTCAGAAACCATTCAGGGAATACTGAATCAACCTACATCAAACCTGGGTAGCACCTCCCCATTCTGAAGCTGGGCTTAAATATGTCCAGCTTATAAAAGTATAAAGACACCAGCTTTTACCTTGAATTCAGTAGACCAGTGTGTTGCAAACATTTTTTGATAGTAATCTACAGTAAAAAAAAAAAAAAATTACTATTGTGATCCAACAGACAAGTACATATGTTTATGGCTGAGACAAAAGCTTCTTAAAGCATTACCTGTACTATATATAAAACACTTGGATATTTTCTCTCTCTTCTATTTCACTCTTTTAAATACTGCTTATGACCATTAAATTGCTTTCATAGCCTACCAACGGGTCATGATCTGCAGTTTGACAAACACCAAGTCAGACCAAAAGTATCTTCAGGAATGAGCTAATAATAAGAAATGGAATCCTATAAAAGACTCTAAAAGTTCTTTAATGGAAGAAAGATGACTATTGATTTGGGTTTGTGTACACATGTTTCATTCTCCTTGAGAATTTAAATTACAAAGATATATTCCCAGCTTCAGGTGTGTTTAAAAAATGCCTTTGCCTCATAAAGTGGAAGTTTCCAATAATGACACATCAGGCAGCACTCAGGGACACCCAGGTTTCTCTAGAACAAGTAATTATACTGGGGATTATCCAATTGAGCTGCAAATAGGAACAGCCACGTAATACACAGAGTGTGGTGGGAACAGTGGCATCAATTGCTTCTTTCCAGCACTGTTCCTGATTTGCAAAAATCTTTTAAATATGCTGGCATTTAAAAATCTGTGAGAGCTTTTGGCAACTGATATCAAAATTGAGGGTCGAGGTCTCACTTCTACTGGACAAGTTGCCATGGCGCTCTGGTTTCCTATATGACAAACACTAGTGATACCTTACTTTTGTATATTGCTTGGCAATTTATGAAGTGTTTTAAAGCATATTATCTCAACCTCATAACAATTTTGTGAGCTATACTCGGAAGGTATTTTTGTACATTGTATTCATGACTATAATGTCATTTAAGATTTAACTGTTTCCATTTTCATCATAAAGAGGGATCATGTTGTTGGCTAGTAGCAAGAGGCAGCATAACGTGGAAAGAACATATGATTTGGCCTCAAAGGCATGAGATAAAATTTGTGGTGTGCTAATTACCAGGTGTGTGCTCTTGAGAAGGTCTCCGAAGCTCAAGCCTCATGATGGGTTTTGTGAGTAGAGAGACATAAGTCATTCTCACAAGCTAAAGAATGATGCAGTGGAAAGTAACATGGCCTTGGGTGGCAGACAGAGCTGGTTTCAAGTCCTACCTTTGGCACAAGCTATGTCAACTTAGGCAAGTGATGTAGCCTCTCTGAATTTTATATTTTCTTCTTCTGTATAATAAGGATTACAGTGACATATCACTGGCCAATTAAAATGTCCTCCTAATTAATATATGGTATATACTTCCAACTGCCTTTAATTTATTCTCATAGTACCAATTCTAAAAAAGTAAATCTATGTCACTTTCCTACTTGAAACTTATCATGGTTTCTCACTGCTCTTGAGACAGACCAAAATCTTTGCCTTTGCCTACAAGGCCACACAGAACACAATCCCTACCTGTCTCTCTGACCTCGCTTCATACCACTCTCTCTCCTTCCATCACAAACATTTAGCCAGTGCTGGTTGTCCCTTAGTTCTTTGTGGCTTGAGACATCTTACCCTTTAGAGTCTGTTCACACTGCTGTTTCTTCTGCCTGAAATTATCTCCTCATTGCAGCTCCAATCCCACTCATGCATCCTTTAGGTATTACTGTAAATGTCATCACATTAA